GGCACATGATCCCTCCCAGTTCCAGCAGTAATGACTGCTTGGCAGACCAGCTGCTCCTGCTCTGAAGGACTAAAAGCGTGTGCCACCAATGCCTGGCTCATTTATCTATTCCTATCTCTCATATATCCCATCTATCTATCTATCTATCTATCTATCTATCTATCTATCTACCTACCTATCTATCTATCTATCTATCTGTCACTATACAAGTATATCTATTATCTAAGTATCTATTTATCATCTATCTCTATCATCTATCATATAGCTATATTGACCTATCATCTATCTATATCTATCTGTCATCTATATATCTATCTATCATCTATCTATGCTTATTTATCATCTATCTCTATTATCTGCCATCTGTCTTTCCACCTATCATCACTCAACTATTTATCTATCATCTATCTATATCTGTCATCTATATATGTATGTATGTATGTAGGTATATATCTGTTAGTATCTACCTCCATCTATCTATCCTCTCACTATATCTATCTATGCTTATTTACCATCTATCTATCATCTATTTATCTATCATCTATGTATCTACCATCTATCTATCTGTTTATCTATCTATCATTTATCTTCTATCTGCATATGGGTATATGTGGATTTATTGGAATACCTTATAGACTGCAACCCAAAATGGCAAGCACTGAATGACAGGCTGAAGACTCTAGAGTTTCTCAGGCCCACAAGTCTTGTTGTTTCAGTTTTTTAAAAAAATTTTTATATGATCACATCCCAAAGTAGTGGGCTTCAATGACAGGAAGGAATGGATGTGCTGACAAGAAGAGAGAAAGCAGACAAAGAACTAACACACGACCTTCTCTATCCATTGTTCTTCAAGCAAAAGGAGTGACTAAAATACAGGTGTGCCTTACAAACTCAAGGTCTGGATTGAAGGCATGTGTCATCCAGTCTCAGGATCTGGATGAAAGGCATGTTATCTTCTTGCCAGAAGGTTCAAATCACAACTCTGCCATCCATTTCAAAACTGTACTTCATTCTAGATATAGTCAAGTCAACAACGAAGAATAACTATCGCAATCCATCCCTTGTCAACTTAAAACACAATCTTATCATCATATGCCATAATTCATTTCCAAATGAAAAACAATAACCAGGTCATAATTATGCCTAAACATAATATAACTATCCCACATATGATCACAAATGCATTATATAATTAGAATAATGTCAATGTCCCCTTGGGGGACATTTTCCTAGTGTCACAAATGTACATCTGATAACCTCTGATATTCTCCTAATTGATATTACCACATATGGTGAGGAATTTGAAAGAAAATACTTTTGCAATTTAAGAATGTATCCTATGAGAGAAGGATGCCATTCAACTTTTATTGGGATAAAGTGAATGGGAAAATGCAAAGGGGAGGGGGGTGACTGGCCTCTGGGACAGGAAAGGCAGAACAGAAGAGAGAGGTAGAGAAAGATGGAGGAAATAGAAGCAGAGAGAGATAGAGAGGGGGCGGAACAAACAGAGGGGGGAGAGAGAGATGGTTGGTGGGAAGGGCCCTTTAAAAAAGGGAACTAAGTGGATGTGTGCAGGTGATGCTCTTAGTGGCTACAGCTGAGTCATATCCTGCTAGAAACTCAAGGACAGGCCAGTACAGATGCCTGAATACGAACACATTCAAATGCCAGTACAAATACAGTATTCACAAAATACAATAGAAATACTCATGTCAGTTATAATTCTCATTGTTGTAATTGGTCATGTGGCCTTAGATAATTATGAGAGTTATTCCAATTTCCCAATGTTAACATGCATATATCATATCTCCTGATGGTGCTACTCCTTTCTTAGTCTGTGAGTTTGAGGGCATTTGAAGCTTAGGTGGAAGTCTGGGTTTCCAGTTCAATAGGAATGTTTGTTGTAGCTCGTGGCAGGAGCAATGCCCCCATGTGCAACCAAAACTTCTAGATCAGAAGAACTTAGAATTGCAGAAACAGCAAGCAAAACTTTCCTAGTTTACAACTAGGGGTTTTAGTGAGTGGGATCTATCCCTGTTTCCACCACTTGATTCCTAGACCTTGAGTCATATGAAGTGGTCAGAAGCAGTACTCTCAGGAAAAACGTGTAGGTGGATAAGACATTCATTCATTGGTTACAGCTGATCAATCAGTGAGTAGTTACACATTTGGTCATTTCTCCTTCCAAACAAACTGTATGGCCAGGTGCACTGCCTGACTTCTGCCCACTGTGAAGGTCTCCCTTCATCAGTATGAAATATGATCCTAATTAGTCTGAATCTATAAAAACGAAGAGTTGGATATTTATTGAGAAAGCTTAAAGGTAAGAGGAGCAGAACAGCCAGCCACCATAAACTTCTTACCCCCAAAAATATCAGACTGAATGGGGGAGATCCTTTGTCTATGAATCATCAGACTGAATACGTGGCTGAGATCTCCAACACTTTATTATATTATTTTCTTTACCTTCCCAGTGCTAGGAGTCACCATGTCTGACTTTGTTTCTCTTTTAGCCTGACATCATCTTATATACCCAATGATGTTCTTGATCATCTGATCTTCCTGCTTCCTCCTCCCAAGTGCCACCACTGTCTGGCCTCTATGGTTAAGTATTGGCTAGCTCTACCCTATTTAGTTCTGGAGCCCACTTTTTAATTGGATCCTTTGGTGTTTTTGAGACTTGCTTCTTGAGTTCTAAGTAAATTTATAGTGGGGACTGGGGTATGTTCCTGTTATTCCATATATCTCCAAGTCTTTATCAGGAAGGGGTGTTGGGTTTTTCCATAGGTTTTGAAATTAAAGACTCGTATTTAATCTGCATCACTTGAGCTGATATCCATCTTCAGCTGCTTGATGGCTGCTGCTCACTTCTAATCCCAGCACTCAGGAGGCAGAAGTATTTGGATTTTGATAGTTGCAGGCCAGCGTGAATCACAGAATAAGTTCCATGGCTGCACCGAAATCCCCTGTGTTAAAAATACGCCCTCCCCCTTAAAAAATATAACAATCATTAAGATCCGTCTTTAATCTGGATCAGACATTCTGGTGGCTGTCTACATATAGAAAGGATTTTGAAGAAGGAAGCTCTCTCTTTGCCTGTTTGTCTTCAGCCCTGGCTAATCAGTCCATTGCTTTATCAGAATTAGAGACACTTCCTTGAGATTTTGGAGTATATTGAAGACCAGCTGAGGTAATCAGTATGGAATTCAGTATAGAAACACTCCTGAATTCTTCAGATTTTTAATGACAGGCAACATTTGTTGGACTATCAGGCCCGGCCAAACACCTAAGACATTCTAATAAATCCATTTCCAAATATTTGTAGCGATTCATTCTACTAGTCCTATTGACCCAGAGAACCATGAATAATGCAATTGTGTTTTTTGTGGGTTTTATTATTTTTTTTAACTTCCCACTGAGAAAGTTGTGCTGTTTAACAAAAATGATTCTAAATACATCTTTCGTTGCTCCATTATGTTCTAATTATTCAACATTCCATGGGTGCTACTCTGTGTTAGTATTCATTTGCCAACAATTTGCTCTGAATTTCAGAAATTTGACCCCTAAAGCAATGGAGTCTTCATCCAGCTTTATGCAGGGAGAAATTCTCATTATCTTGTTTGCAATCCTGTTCCTGGTTTTCTTTCCTGGGTGTCTGAAGTCATTATTTCAAATAGATAAAAAGTTCAGCTCACCAGACCTCAGTGTGAAGCCGACCTCTACATTTGGAAATCTAGACATGGCCCTTTTTCAGAAAATCCCTCAAGCCTTAAAGGTCTGATGGAGTCCCTCACGTTCTCTCACCAGCCTGCTTGGGATGATTGTCAACAGCTTTTGTAGGTTCTTTTCTACAAAGGGAAAGAGAGAGAATGCTTTTGGAGGTGTGGAAGAATGTGGAATCAGTGGTCAACCAACTGAACTTCACAATGAAATAGATGCAGGCTTTCCCTTAAATCTTCCTAACTGGGACTACAACACACAGCTGAAGGTAGGGAGCGGCTGAAGGTCTATCGCTAGGCTCTGGTGGCAGGTCTCAAGGGAGCTGGCAGGTGAACCACTAATTTGGCCAAGGTAACGGAAGGTCTACAAGGGGAGAAGGAACCCCATCTGTGTTTTTAGAATGTCTCTTAGAGGCTTATAGGCATTATACTCCTTTGATCCTACTTCTGAGAGTCAGCAAGCAGCAGTTGCTATGGCTTTTATTGGACAGTCTGCCTTTGACATTAGGAGAAGTTTACAGAACCTGGAAGGTCTGCAAACATTATCTTTGCAAGACCTAGTTAAGGAAGCAGGGAAAGTGTACCATAAGAGAGAGACTGAGAAAGAAAGAAGAGAAATGAAGGAAGCGGAGGAGAGACAGAATAGACAAGATAGAAGGCAAGAGAGAAATTTAACTAGGATGTTGACTGTAGTTTTAGGCAACTGGGAAGTTCATAAGAAGGAAGAAGGAACTAGGCAGGAAATCAAATGGCTTCATGGATGCCAAGCAGGCACCTCAAGGTGCTATGATCCTTGCAGCTGAACAAAAAACTAAGGAACCTAAAGACTCTTAGGACATTAGAGAACGTAGCTTCAGGTATACCCCTAAAGATCATAAGCGGATGGAGAAACTAACAATTGTGCATGGCTACTCCCCCCATGGAGTAATTGAGACAGAAGATAGCAAATCCATACTACCCCGAGAGGAGGGATGACATTATGTCACCAATTTACATCAACTTACTCATCTAGGGACAAACAATTTAAAGGACATCATGTAATGGGCCTCTTGGACATTGCTCAAAAGGTAGTTTAGAATTGCAAGGCCTGTGCCATAAACAATGCTGGACATAACCTAGGTGCCCCGGCAAATGCCTTCGGGAGACAGGCCAAGAGCATACTGGGAGGTCGATTTCACAGAAGTTAAACCAGCAAATATGGTAAACAAATATTTGTTAGTTTTCATAGATACCTTCTCAGAATGGGTAGATTCTTTCCCTACAAAGAGGGAAACAGCCAATATGTTAGCAAAGAAGATACTGGAAGAGGTTTTCCAACGATTGAGCATCCCTAAGGTAATTGGATCAGACAATGGCCTTGCCTTCATTGCCCAGGTAAGTCAGGGACTGGCAACCCAACTGGGGATTAATTGAAAATTACATTGTGCTTATAGACCCTAGAGGTCAGGACAAGTAGAAAGAATAAATAAAACATTAAAAGAGGCCTTCCTTGACTAAATTAACCTTAGAGACCAGTGGAAAGGACTGGACAGCCCTCCTGCCCTTCGCCTTGTTCCGAATATGGAACACCACAGGGAAACTAAACTCACATCATTCGAGCTCCTCCATGGAGGACTACCCCCCTTGACAGAAGCAGGAGGGGCACTTGATCTTGATGCCTCTTTCTCACAACCCCTGTTAGCTTGTTTAAAGGCTCTTGAACTGGTCAGAAAGGATGCCTGGGAATAGCTAAAAGGAGCATAAGAACCGCGAACCAAGCTGTACCACATAAGTTCTAAGTGGGAGACTCCATCCTGGTCTGGCATCATTGATCCGGCACCCCCGAACCCAGATGGAAGGGACTCTACTTGGTGCTCCTGACAAGTACCACTGCCATCAAGATTGATGGCATCCCAGCTTGGATCCATGCATCCCACGTCAAAGCGGATCCCTCCTGCAACCTAAGATGACTCCTGGAATCTGGAACAGACTGGTGATCCTCTTAAGCTACATTTCTGTCACCTGCTCATCTCAGAAGAATAGGTCTTGCTGGTGGTCCTCCTTATTACGAGGGAACTGCCAACTCTGGTACTAAATCTGGCCTGCTGTCTGTCTCAGGGTTTTGACAGCACCTTAGAGAATTTAATTCTTTCCTTTTTCTAACATTAAAAGGAGGTAGTTATTTGGTATTTTACCTGTATGTGTCTGTGCACAGTACCTAGAGAGGGCATAAGAAGACAGGAAATACTTGGGACTGGAGTTACAGAAAAATTGTTGGCTAACTCAAGGGTTCTGATAAAATAAAAAACAGAAACAAATCACAAACAGTGGATTTATTTGCTGTCAGTTGATGAGCCATCCATCTGTCCCATCTTTTTTAGTTAAAATTAATCCTTAGAAATTCTTATTAAAAGATGGTATATCAAAAAAAAGAAAAGAAAAAAGATGATATATCACTTTCCACATTTATGCCTTCATTGTATCCCTTCCCCAAGTCCCTTCCAAATTGATCCTTGTTAATAATGGATGAATTAGTGTGTTGACATACATGAATGCAACCTGCTGCTTACATTTTTGTTGTTTGTGAATATAGACATAAGGAACTACCTATTTTGTATTGGATAAATGAACAGAAATTTCATCCATGCCTGAGGCTAATTATCTTAAATTGGGGAGAATTCTACTTTTAAATAGAATCAAAATTCTGACCCAGAGTAGGTTGCCTTGGACAGGAAGCCTTTTTAAGATTAGGAAACATAGGATGAAAAATGCTGTAGCAGATAAGAGCACTGAAAAACCTTTCAGACCATCAAGCTTGGTGTTACTGGTCATCTGTGAGAGGGGGAGTCAATGGAGACAATGATTCTGTAATATTGGGCTGCAAAATATAGGGCGTTTTCTTATATAGAAATTAGTGGGCAGGGCCCAGCACATTGTCCATGCAGTCAACACTGGGGTGTCTTTTGTTCTATAAGAATGCCGGTTGAAAGCCGGGTGTTGGTGGTGCATTCCTTTAATCCCAGCACTCGGGAGGCAGAGGCAGGTGGATCTCTGTGAGTTCGAGGCCAGCCTGGTCTACAAAGTGAGTTCCAGGACAGCCTACAAAGTCACAGAGAACCCCTGTCTCGAAAAACCAAAAAAAAAAAAAAAAGAAAAAGAAAAAGAATGCAGGTTGAACCAGCCACAGAGAACCAGCCATTAAGCAGCACCCTCCATGGCCTCTGTTTCAGTGCCTGCCTCCTGGCTCCTGCTCTGCTAGAGCTCCTGTCCTCACTGCTTTTGATGCATTGTTAGATGATTTGGGGCCCAGATTATCTTAACCACACAGCTGCCATGACAGACTTAATAAAAAACAGCCAGAGAGTAGGCCTGACAGTCAATTTACTGTCAGGCAGCAACAGGTTCCAGGAAAAACCATAAGCTGATACCACCCAGGGGAGGGGCATTATCTAAGGGCAATTTACCTGACATTGCAAACATTCCAACAATTATAGATATGATCTTCAGATGTTCTGGGGCCCAGCACCCACCTATTTGCTTTTTTGAAGACACCCCTAGCCATATGTCAGTCAGTCACACATCCTGAACCTTGAATGTCCCCTCACCCCAACCACTGCTATGATAAAAATCCTACTCAGCCAGGCTTGGCGCTCTCTGATTGTACCACTGCATGGGACACATGGAGGATTCATTCTTGCGCTTGAATCTTGAATAAAGTCTCTTTGCTTTTGCATATGGATTAAGTGTCCAGGGTAATCTTTCTCAGATTCTCACAAGCCGGGCATAGCAGTGGAACTGTGAGCAAAATGAACCATTTCTTCCTCAAGTTACTATTTTGGCCAAGTTGTTTCATCACAGCAATAGTGGCACTAAGACAATGGAGGTCTGAATGGAAAACTTCCAAAGTCTGATTGAGTTTTTAATTTCTCTTCATCACTATTGCAGTCATGGAATTGCTCTATTTATCAGGCTGTCCTCAATCTCCACAGATTGCCTGAGTCTTACTCATTGTGCCTCAATTAAAGGCATGAACCAAACCATCCAGCTGGAAATAGTTATAGTTTTTTTAATCCTTGTCACATTTATGAACACTTGGACAGCTTCTCTTGTTTGGCTACTTAAAGAATATCACTTTGAACAAGCTTGTACATATAGAACAAGGGCTACAAATGTGACAATTTTCCTGTAATATCACAGCTATGTCCCAGCATGTTCATATCTGAAACCTGCTTGGTGTTCTTCTCTGGATGAGGTTTCTTAGACTTTCCTGGATGATGTCCCTATCTCTAGTGCTTGCAACTCAATGTGCTTCTCAGTGCAATCCAAGAGTGACCTGCAATTCTTTGCAGTATGGTGGTTCTTTGTTTGTTTGTTTGTTTTTGTTTTGTTTCTTTTTTTTTTGCAGAGCTTGGATACCTTTCCTCATGTCCATTCATCTCATTTTACTTTTACTATCTGGAGATCCCATATTGATGTAAGGATCTTAAGGAAAAAGCAGGTAAGAAGGTCATGGACAGGCAGTGAAAGCAAAGACACATGCGAAGAAGAAACAGAAGTAGAGACTGCAATGAATTTGCACATAATCAGGGAATCAGTAATCATGGCAGCATTCATTTGCATGTGGTGGCCTGGTGAGCTCACCTCCCCTGGAGATCAATCAAACTTTTCACACTCACAGTGAGATAGGACAAAAGAAGCATCTCACTACATCATCTGCATGAGTATGTCCTCCTTGGAGCTGCACACTGCAGGCTGGAGCAAAGCATGCAATTTGCTGCATAATTGCATTGTGTAGTGATGCTGCAGGAGCTGAAATTCCCAGGCCTCCTTCAGGTAAGCCAGGAGTTAGAGTGGCCCTGGCTTCCAGAGGCCCCAACTGCTATTAAGAGCCATAGAGTGCCCCTTCCTATTGGGACAGTGAAAGATGACTACAGATGGGCTGAAGGTGGAAAGCATCTCTTCCCTGCACTTCCCATGATGAATAGACTGCAGTAGATGCGACTTTAGACACTTCTTGGTTGCAGGCAAGAATTACAACTGTGTTCTTGAAGTTGGGTCAATGAATATCTGGCAAATCTTCTAGAATTTGAAAGTTGAACACTGCATAGATCTTTCATTCCTCCTTCCAAACTGTCATGGACAAGGACACTGTGTACCTTTTACCTAGGTTCAGTACAATGGGTGCAATATGTCCTGGACTTGGGTTGGGGCCTCAGATTACGATGGGCCCCACGGTCAGGTCATTACTGTATAGAGTTGCTGTCTCATTTTTCAAGTCCCTCTCTCCAATGTCCCTCAAACCTGTCCTGATGCAGTTCCTGGGCATCTACAGGGATTTCTAAGGTCATATGCTCAGGCTCTTGTGGATGAAGGCTAAGGAGCAGAAGTCCAGAAAACTAGATTCTGCAGTTGGAGCCTCAGCCAGTTGATTGGCCAATGAGAGCAACAGTGACTTGGCGATCTCTGGAGGAGCTGGAGTAGTGCAGGGCCATTATACTCTCCACTCCAGATAACTTCGTCATGTAGAACAAACTATGTTTGGGCAGCTGTAGACACATAGCACTCTGCAGTGTGACGTAGAAAACTGATGGGCAGTTGTGGATATGGGGGAAGGCTTCCCTAGGGCTAGAACAGGACTCTGTGAATCTGGATTGTATATTGTTCTTACTTCTCTCTGATCACTCCTCCTTTCTGACAATGCTCAAGTTGATACTGGACCAGATCTTCCAGGAGGATTTCTCTAAGGATGAGAATGTGTTACTAAGTGTGGAATACCTAAAGCAGTAGTCTCAGAAGTAGCCTCTTCATCTCTCAAAAGGTAAGGCTGAGGATTCTCCAGTTCTCCACTCCTGAGACCCCAACTCCTGCATCAGTACCTGCCTTCCCAACCAGCATTCTAGAACTGTCCCTTTGGTGACCTTTGAATTCTCTCTGCATGTTGAATGTCAGCTCAGTAGACCATGAACCCCGATCTTTCGGTCACATGTTGGTGATTACTGCTAAGCCTTGGGACCCAGAAAAGGCTGAGGTCCTCCTGAACTTTCCTTTGTTCATTGGATGGTGAGGTTGAGAGTGTTGATGTTTTCCAGGGCAGGTGGGACCACAGCTATCTGCTGTGAAAACCTTGGAGAAAGCCTACTGGTGTCTTCAAATCTGGGATCTCAGCTCTTAAGGCCAATTCTAAGACACCCCTATGAGGTTGCAGTCACCTACTTACAGGAAGATGGGAAAATGTACTGGCCCTGACCCATTATGTTCGCTTCTAGTCATTGCCAGGAACTTTTCTCTGTGTCACTGGCACTTTGGAGAGTTGATGACAAGCTTTGCATTTTTTTCATCTTAGTACACTACCTGCTTTTTAGATCTCTTCCAGTACATCTACTGTTTACTAATTGTGGAGGCCTAGGAAAATGTTAATTTTCTGGTTCAAGCAATTTGACCCTTGCAAACCTGAAGTCCACTGCCAGGAGGTGGAACCTGTCAGCCATGCCTAATCCCTTATGTGTACAGGGCTTGCTGTGTTGCTCATGTCTCAAATTCTCAATTTCCCTCCAACTATTTGCTGATCTCCATCACTCTGGTATCCATTTCTCAGATGCTTTCATCTTCTTTGTTCAGCTTTTCTTTCAGGAAAGCATATTTGGCATTATATTGTATAATAGTTTATTTGGAAACTCAAAATAGTGTAGGATAAAAAAGAAGTACACATAAGTTAAGTTCACCACTACACTCAAGATCATAGATAGAAGCCGGGCGTTGGTGGCACACGCCTTTAATCCCAGCACTCGGGAGGCAGAGGCAGGTGGATCTCTTTGAGTTCGAAGCAGCCTGGTCTACAGAGTGAGTTCCATGACAGCCTCCAAAGCCACAGAGAAACTCTGTACCGAAAAACCAAAAAAAAAAAAAAAAAAAAGATCATAGATAGAAAGAATAGCACCATGTCAGTGTTTGTTTTGAAATAGGATAAGTTACTCTAATACCCAGACATGCCTCAAATTTGTAATTTTCTGCCTTAAGATTATAGGAAGGTATAAAACATATCTATTTTATCACAAAACACATGCAAATAAATGCAGAAGTGTAAAGTATATGTGAGTAATCATTATTAAAAATTAAAATCAGAGTTGGAGGCTGGGCTGGACCAACAGCCTCCAAAACAATACAGAGAAACCCTGTCTCGTAAAACCAAAAGAAAAAAATTAAAATCAGGGCTGGAGAGATGCTACAGATGTTAAGAGACCTGGCTGCTCTTCCAGAAGTCTTGAGTTCAATCCCAGCAACCACATGTTCGCTCATAACCATGTAAAATGAAGTCTGGTTTCCTCTTCTGGCCTACAGGCATAAATGGAGGCAGAATGCTGTATGTTGTACACAGAATAAATAAATCTTTAAAAACATAAAATCATAAATATTTTTACATATTTACAACATAAGTAATATGAAATATTTACCTAGTTATGTGTGTCTGTGTAATGCTTAATAGAGACATACATTTTTTTTAGAATCCTGAATAGTTAAATCCTTCTTTGCAGAATCTGGGAAAGAGAAGGGTTAGGATGTTGGGCAACCATTACTCCTCTTAGTATTCTAACAGGGAATGTGGTCTGTTTTCTGAGAAGTGATAACTCCTGGAGAAGGTCACAGCTGTGACATATTCTATGAACTACTAAAAATCAAATATGGAATCAGAGTAAAGAGAACTAGGGAAGCAAAGAAAAGCAAGGAAGGAGGAGAGAAGGTGAAGTCAGGAGGAGGCCAAGGTTCCTGAGGAGTCAAGTGCTGACTTCAGCCTGTGCCATGGTTCTTCACTTAGTCAGAGGATGGAAGTTTATATCATAGAGAACTAGACAACTCAGGTGTGGAAGGATGTGCTGAGACAAGGCCAGCTTAGGTAGGGAGAGGGAGGGTCCAGCATCCTGGCTTTACCCAGGTTTCCTCCTCTCTCATGTCCTCCTTCCAGTGTCTACTTTAATGGAGAGGATTTGATGAATGATGCTGGCAGCAATGCTCTTTTGTACAAGGAGCCAATAATGGGAAAAGAGTTTCCAAAGGAATTTCCTTCCCGTGATTCACTACTGTCTCCTGCTAAATCTCTAAAAATGTGACCTCCATTAAATTCATTGCTTATATCTTAGATGGACACACCGCTTCAGAAATACAGAGTCTCCTTGACTGTCAGCAACTGCAGAATCCAGATATCCAGTGTAACTGAAGTCTTCTGATTACTGTTATTCTCGTGATTTCTAGTGCATATTTAAAGAAAATAGCTGAGACTTCACCTTCCCTGGGGAATGGAGTGGGGATTGGCTGGGGCGTTGGAGAGCTGCTGGGAGGAGTGGATGTGGAGGAGAGAGAGAAGGAGCTTGGACTGACACTTGAAGCAAACTTGTTACTAATTTAAATATATAATAAAAAAATTGTTGGCCTTGAATCAAGGCCCAGTAGTGTGTTAAAGCTGTTGGTTTCAAGCTGGTGCCTAAATAAATGTCTTTCTATGATCTGTTGTCCATTTTAGGAATTTAAAAATGGTATGGTCAATTCATTAGAAAGAAACATCTGAGTGGGGTGATGGTGACCTACACCTGTAATACAAGCACTTGGGAGACAGAGGCAGGTGGATCTCTGTGCATTGCAGGACAGTCAAGGTTACACAGAGAAACCCAGTTTCAGGGACACACACACACACACACACACACACACACACACACACACACACACACCACAACATCTGGCTGAATGTGATACCCAGCTCTGTTATTGTAACACTTGGCTAACTACAGAGGCCAGCAATGCCAGATGATTAGGAGTTTGCAAGCTCCCAGGACCACAGGAAAATCTTATCTGGGGTGGGTGAAGGGGAAGCCAAAAAAATTAGCTGAGCCATTGGTAACATATGAGCATGGATGCCAGTATTAATTACATTCAAAGGTTTCTTTATAATACTTCTACATTGTTGATTTAACTTTTGTTCATTAAGTTAACTCTGTTATCAAGAAAAAGATATTGCTGTGGGTTCTCTGCCCACAACATTCTTCTGTAGTGTGAATTATGCAGTAATGTCCTTTTGTATGATTAGTGCCCTAAGGTTTATGTTTTTAACATACTCAAATTAAAGGTTAGAAGACAGATCAGGCACAAGTGTGACCTCTAGTTATCTAAAGGGATGACACTAATTGGAAATCTTAGCAATAGTGGAGAGACCATCTCGAATGCCCATTCCTGATAATGAACCTGATGTCTATACCAATCCTGGATCCTTCATCCAGTGACTGATGGAAACAGAGACAAACACCCACAGTTAAACCCTGAAGCAAACCCAAGGAACCCAGTGAAAGAGAGAGAAGAAATATGAGCAAATTGGCAAAGAATGGGCTGGCAAATCCATCAGGGTGAGGTGATCTGAACAAGGGGGAGCACTTGGACACCAGACCAACAGCTGGTAGGCCAGCATGGGACTGATCCAGATGCCCCAAATGTGAGAGTCAGTGAGGAGGCCTGGGCTACCTATGGGGCCCTGAGCAGTGGATCACTGTTTATCCCTGGAATACAAACAGACATCATGTGTCCATAACACAAAGGTGGATGCTCTCTCAGCCTGGACTCTTAGGGGAGTGCCTGTACCCTGTCCTGAGTGAAATGACAGACTCTAGATATCCCCTATTGGAAGGAATTGGCAATAGGGTGGGAGGCTGGGGGGTGATGGTGGGGGGATGTGAGAGGTGGGGAGGGAGAGGGAACTGGGATTGACATGTAAAACAAGCTAGATAAAACTAAAATAATGAAAAAATCTAAAAAAACCATACTCAAATTAGAAACCTTCAAAAAGTGGACTCTCCCTACTCCCTCCTTTCTAATTTGAAATTTAAGCCATTAACATCATATGCTTTCTGGAACAAAGCTGCATTTCTGATGGGCTACAAAACCTGTGGTGACCTGTATAGAGGAAGTGGGGAGGGAAGAACAGAACCTTCTCCTGATCTTGTCTTTGACAGGAAAGGATTGTCTTTACTCTTGTTTCTTTCTTCCCTTGTTGGACTATCACTGATGACTGAATGGCTGATCTTTTTAGCCTCAGGACAGGGACTGCAGATGTGCACTGCCACACCTTGTTTAGAGCTACTACTCTCAGAATGCAAATACATATGCAAAGTATTGAGCTCTAACCATGACTGCTTAAAACATACTTGGGCTAGATAAAGGCCAGGAAACTGCAAAGAGCCTCTGATGTATGGGGTGGAGGTTGATGGGATTTTATTGGAGGAAATTAGAGACTATGGTACACTTGAGCTATTAAAGTAGAGAGCGCCCATGTGAGGTTTAATGGAATGATGGGTGAGGAGGATGGGGACGGAAATCAACTAAAACAAGCTATGTAATACATAGGGAAACGTGATGCTTGGTAAGCTAATTCAAAATAAATAGCAAAACAGAACTTTTTATCTGGGCATGGTGGTACATGATATAATCCCAGTACTCAGGAGGCAGAGGCTGGCAGAGTTTGAGGCCAGACTGGTCTTTGTGCCAGGGCAATGTAAAGAGACCCTGTGACAACAAGCAACCTTTCAAATATTTACTGTAAAAGAGATTTTGAAATGAATCAGGCACAGTGTTTCATGGCTGTAACCTCAGCACTTCTGAGAAAATGGTGGGAAGATCAGGAGATAAAGATTATGCCTGACTAAGTAGGGGGTTCTTGGGTTTGGTTTGAAGCAAATATATATTGCTAATAGGAACAGTGTTTCTGCTGACTTAGTCTATTAAAGAGCAGAAACAGCACTGTGTCTTGGAACAGGTTGGTAGGCGCTTCTGTATCAAGATATTTTTCTCTGTCTTGTGTATATTCCTTAGCGGTGCCACAGTGGGGTCTTAGTGTCCAGGTTTAACTGGCCAGTACCCTGGAAATGAGATGGAGGATGAATTATAAATTATTGACAGGTCTAAAATTATATGCTGCAAAATGTCACTCATCAGGGAACTAAAGGATGGCTCTCTAAGTATGGGTGAGTGTGTGCATGCATGCATGACACGGCAGACTCCTGGACTGTGGCACCTCCAGTGAATTGGCCTGTTTCCTTAACTATGTCTGCAGATATTTGCCAGGACACAAACAAATAAGGTTCTCCTCAAATGCTGTCAGGGGTCTGAAGAGTTATCCTGCAACAAACCGGTTCCTGTAAGTCTTTCTGAGGTCCCCTTCTGTCCACTGCATTTCCAGTTGTCTCCTGAGATGTGTAAGCCCCAGCAGGTATTGTCTGTTTCAGATGATCTGAAGCTGGCCCCATGGATCTGTAATTGCGTTCTGCCCACTGAGAGTACACCCCTAGAGTTCAGTGATATTACTTGAACTATGATAAGTTTAAGACTGAGAGGATTAGCTGGGCCTGGTTGCATAGGCCCATAATCCAGCTACTGGCAGTTGAAGCAGGAACGACATAAATTCAGGTCTTGCCTGGGATTCAGGGACTTGGACGTTGTGGGTGATGGTATGCTGTGCCCTCCGTCGCCCTTGCTTTTTGATCCTTCACTAGCTCTTGAAGATCATTCCTACAAGGAAATTGCTGGAGGCCCAGGCCAGATGCAGGTGACTGGAGATGGGTGCAGATCTCATGTACCTCGAAATTTAAAGAAAGCCTGTGCATCTTTCCCTCAGCATGGATTGACTACTGCAAATGGAAAACCAGAACCGACTTCTGTCAGTTGACGGTTGATTCTGGATATTGTTTGACTGGTGGATCTTAGCTTTCCATTCTTCAAACAAGTCATCTCTGATCGTTTCTCACTAAGCACGGATAACCCAGACTACATTGCTTTTCTTTGGGGCTATAGAACGATATAAGCAAACATAAACCAAATTTGTGAGGAATGAGTCTTTAGTATTTAAGTTACAGGATTCTTTTCAAGGAAGAGAGTGGCAATTCCTGCCTTTAGGACTGTGTCTGGGAAAGAGAGGTTTTTGTGTGTGATTTCCTAAGCCTTGGAAGAAATCTACTAGGCAGGGCCTGCAGTCCGGAATGGCACTCTTTTGGGTGCTGACTCTTCAGTGTCTGACTGTCTCTATCTAAAAGACTGTTTTTAAGCCTTTCCTCAGCCTCACATAACTGGGCAATAGAAACAGCTTTTCATACTGACTGAAAAGCAGCCAGCTCCCAGGTCTGGTCTCTCCTTAACTATCCTTCTTGCTTTTTACTTATGTAAATGGTCTAATTCCCCGTGTAAAATATAGTAAAATGTTTGTATATAGTGTCTATTAAATGTTAAAATGTTATAGAAAATACATTAAAAATCACAAGAATCCTCACAGTGTCTTAAGTCTGTAAGTCTTCTAACATCCTTCCTCTGTGAAAAGAGTTGTCTTGTGTTTCTGATATGTGAGACCAGTTTTCAATGTTGAGCAGATATTTTTGCATTGTTTAGATTTATTAAGTTTTTATATATTACTCCTACCTTCTCTGTGTGTGTGTTTCTGTGTCTGTATTTTGTGTGTCTCTCTGGAAACAATTTGGTACAGGCTATAAATCTTACAATGATCTTCTAGTCTGTGTCCATATTATATACTACAAATCTTGAAAAAAATTCTCCTGTTGTCAGTCTCCTCTTCTTACTGTAATCAAGGAGGCTGGTAGATGGGGTCAGACTCCTGATACTGGAGTTACAGACAGTAGAAAGCTTCTGTATGTACTGTGAATGGAAGCTTGTGTTTAACATGATCAGCCAATTTTCAATGTATGTACAACCAACAAAAATGGATACAGACAATTTTATTCATGTATTTCAACATACATATTCACACACACTTAAAACAAGAGAATCTAGAAGGGGTTTGGAAAAGAAGCTAATGAAGGAAATAGGGGAAAGTGATAAAACACCTTCCAATAATCAAGTGATGGAAATAAAAATTTTTTTTTTGGTTTTTCGAGACAGGGTTTCTCTGTGGCTTTGGAGGCTGTCCTAGAACTCGCTCTGTAGACCAGGCTGGCCTCGAACTCACAGAGATCCGCCTGCCTCTGCCTCCCGAGTGCTGGGATTAAAGGCGTGCGCCACCAACGCCCGGCTGATGGAAATAAATTTTAAGTAATAATATGAGCTAGAGAAATGACTCAGCAATAAATAGCACTGGGTGTTGTCGCAGAGGACCCAGTATCCACTTCCAGAACTGAGAAGTTAGCTTTATTCTGTAACTTCTGTGCCCAGTATCTCTTGCCTTACTATGGCCTCTGAAGTACTCTTCACAAACATGTGCAGGCCAAACATCCATATAACTTTTTTTTTAGAAACAGTAAAAATAGTATGCTCCAAAGGGATATGATAACCCTGAGGAACACAGTAGGGGCCATAATTAAATGAACTCCTGCTGGTATTGCATGTTAGCACCTATGATCAACTGCCTGTCCACCCTGCTCAGAGGCAAAAACAGCTTTGTTCTGAGATTAATAGAGGTCATCATAATGATTCATCTAAGAGTAGTGCATACAGTGCCATCAAGTAGCATTTACATTAAGTTTCTGTATTTGGCTTCTGAAACTTTTGTGTCTGTGAGAATTGTGCCATTGTTGCAGGTATCATTAGATGGAGCATCAAGTTTGAGAGGCAGCATATAGATTTTCACTGTGTTATTTACCTGATTTTCTGGTAAGAACTTGTGGTATAAGATGAACATGCCAAAGGCATTTCTTTCCATATTTTTATAATTTATATCTCTGCAAGACTTTGAAGTAAAAATGTCCCTAAATATCTCTGATTTTACATTGTGATCATGTTTAATAATGGATTTTTTTAATGTGAGCCTTCCTAGGTATAGGGAAAATACTCCACTAATGTGTCTTACCCCCTAAGTAAAGTCCACATGATTTTTTGTTTAGGAAAAGTATTGTTTTGCAAATAACTCCCAGGGCCCCGCTGTTTCCTTCAGGTAAGAAATCTCCTCATTTTTTTCTGCCTAGATTGTTGTGATGGTTATTCTTGGTAGTCCAAAGGACTATCTCAGCAATTAATGAAAACTCAAATAGTTGTATATACCTGTGTGGGACTTTTCCATAGATTTTGAAATTACAGACTCATATTTAATCAGGATCACTTGAGGTGATATCCACCTTCATCTGCTTGATGGCTGCTGCTCACCTCAAATGCCAGCACTCAGAAGGCAGAAGTATTTGAATTTTCAGAGGTTCAGACCTCGGTTTTCCATGGATGAACAGAAAACCCCTGTCTGAATCCGATCATCTACTGACTGCTTATATGTACATATATATTTGCATGTTTGTCCTAGCCCTGGGTACCAGTTCATTATTTTATCAGAATTAGAGCCACTTGCTTGAGATTTTGGTGTATACTGAAGACCAGCTGAGACATTCAGCCTCATGAAAAGAACAACTCTTGAATTCTTCAAATTTTTATTGCAAGGCAACCATTGTTGGACTATCAGGACCAACACCTAAGACAATTTAATAAATCCATTTCCACAAATATGTAGTGTATTTCCATCATTTTGCCAGTTCTATTGATGCAGAGAACCATGAATAATGCAAATGTGGTTTTTAATTACTTCAGTCCCCACTGAGGAAGTTGTGCTGGCTAAAATTACTGATTCTAAACACAGTATTCCTTGCTCCATTATTCTCTAAGTATTCAATATTCCATCAGGTTTATTCTGTAATACTTATCTTTTGTCAACAGTTAACTCTGGATTTCAGGAATGTAACTCCTAAAACAATCTAGCCATCATCCACCTTTTTGATGGTAGAAAGTCCCATTATCTTGTTTGTGATCTAGGTCCTGATTTTCTTTCTGGGTTGTCTGAAGTCCCTATCGCATCTGTATAGAAAGGAAGTTCAGGACACCTGACCTCAGTGTGAAGCCACACAACAAACCTCTCCTACTGTTTCTTGAAATTGCTCTTCAGTTTTTTTTTTTTGAGGCAGGGTTTCTCTGAGGCTTTTGGAGGCTGTCCTGGAACTAGCTCCTGTAGACCAGGCTGGCCTCGATCTGACAGAGATCCGCCTGCCTCTGCCTCCTAAGTGCTGCGATTAAAGGCGTGCACCACCAACACCCGGCTAAGCTCTTCAGTTGTTAATATTTCTCTTTCACCAGCATGACAGAAATTGACTGCACTACACAAAGTACAGAGGCCTGTAAAATTTTGTTGGCTACTTTGTGTTCAGAAAAAAGAAGAGGAAGCTCCTATGGAGACAAGGGTCCACTGATTCAGACAGATGCAAATACTATTTAAATGCAAATCTGCTGACTGAGAAAATGTCTTTTTCCAGGAAGGCAGTTTCAGGAACCAATGAGCACAGAATAACCCAAATTGAGGAGCTCCTGCCACTCATGCTTCCCCAACCAATCAGTACCTAGAGGCAACCTGCCACACAGAAATGGTGGTGGGTACTTCCTGCCGCTTTCTTCAGGATTTGCTTTTCAGAGGAACTGTTCTGGCGGTCTTGCCTGCTGTGCTGTGAGTGCTGCTGTAGGGAGCTGAGCAGAGAGGAGCTCGAAAACAAAGACATGGTGAGTTTGGGGCTACTATCCAGAGACTGGGAGAACTGCCTATTCGAGCCATGGGAGCCAGCATGGAGGGTCCTCCCATGGCTGGTTGGGAGTCAGTGGCCAGAGGCAGAATTCGCCATGTTCCTGCCTGGTCTTGTGGTGCACATGGTCCTGATGGCCCTGGGTGCCATAGTTTATTTCCATGTAATTTTAAAGGTCCTGAATGGTCTTTGAAATTCTCTGGGTCAGCTGGCAGACTCTGAGTGTGTTCACTCTGCTGGCTGTGCCTGTGAAGATCATTGGGATTGGGACTGTCCTTTTTTTTATTTTTGGTTTTATGAGACAGGATTTCTCTGTATTGTTATGTAGGCTGTTGGTCCAGCCGGGCCTTGAACTTGCAGAGATCTGCCTGCCTCTGCCTCCCGGGTGCTGGGATTAAAGGCGTGTGCCACCACCACCAGCAAGGGACTGTGCTTTTAAATATCCTTGTTGACATTCCTATAAAATGCATGTGACCTTAGTGCTTGGGATGTCATTATAAAACACAGATTTGTCAAACTGAGAGTCCTGGTCTCTTTAGAATCTTACAGAAGTTCTGCACTTTGAATGTTTAATATTTATGATTTGAAATCTTGTGGAGTTAATTGTGTGGAGCATGTGAACAATATTTCCTGTGTAGCGGAGCGTTCCACTGCTACATTGTGATATGGAGGTGTAGATGTGATGGCAGTAGAATTGATCTTCATAGGAGACATTAAGTTACTAAATAGAATTTAGGTCATGGTGGACTGCATCCCAAATACTCCAAAGACAAGTAGTATGCTAACAAAGATGGTTAGATTACAGTATGATAAGGTATAAATATTTGTTACTCAGGTTTAACCAGCTATATTCCAATACCAAAGGAGACAAAACCATTTTAACAGCAGCAGAAAAGCCTATCCCTCCATTAAAAAGCAGTCCTCTAAATGATGCTCAGGGACCATTATAGGGTCACAACCAATATTACGTCCTGATGTTACATAAAGTTATATTAATTCTAGAAAGATTCTTCTCCAGTCTTTTTGCAAAGCAGATTTGTGTCAAAGTCTCATAATGATTGAGTGGATTTGAACCCTGTCTGTAGCCCCACAGGGTTTTACTCTTGTAATATTGACAAAACATGCTAATTATTGGATTAAAAATCTACAGCCTCTCAGAGTCTTGTTTTTCTTTTTG